ATATATCTTGCTAATTTCTATTTTAAATGTTGTCATCTATTAATATGAATGTCTTTAGAGATACTTTCAATTGAGATATTCCTTGAGTGTAATGATATTTTTATTGTTTTTTTTTATATATAGTTATATACCTATATGGAATATTGTTGATGCAAGATGGGAACTTCAACTCCACAGACCCTTACATGCAGCAGCTTATTATTTGAATCCTCATTATCATTATAATCCCAATTTTAAGGTTAATGCCAATATTAAAATTGGATTATATCAATGCTTAGAAAGGATGGTGCCTAATGCAAGTGAAAGGTGCAAAATTGACTTGCAACTTGAATCATTCAAGGATGCAAAAGGGTTGTTTGGCATTGAGGCTGCCAAGACAGCAAGAGATAAAAAAACTCCAGCTCAATGGTGGGATTCTTATGGAGATGAATGTCCAAAATTACAAAGGTTTGCAATCCGAGTTCTAAGCTTGACTTGTACTTCATCTGGATGTAAGCGTAATTGGAGTGCATTTGAAATGGTGAGTTTTTTTATTTTTTTATTTTAAATATTAAAATATTTGATAAAAATCTTATAAATTTGAATTGAATTATTTATTTAGGTTCATACAAAACGAAGAAATCGTTTGCACCAGAGAAAAATGAATGACTTGGTATTTGTAATGTGTAATTTGAAATTGAATAATAATCAAGTCAAAAAGCAAGCGGATGATTTTGGTGTAGAAGATGATCTTTCATCTGATGATGATTGGATAACCGAGGGAGAAAAACATTCAAACATTGATTTGCTTGGTGCTATTGACAATGCAACACGAAGAAAAAATGGTAATGAAGATGAAAGTGATGAAGAAGAAATTCCTAATGATGCTGAAATAGAGAGTCATGGTACTGAAGATGATTTGGATATTCAAATTGATGATATTGGTGTTGGTACTAGTAGTAGCACTAATGCTCATAATATTGGTGTTGGTACTAGTAGTGACACTAATAATCCTCTTGATGCTAATGATATCGATGAATGTATGAGGAATAATGAGGAAGATGAAGGCAATGAAGCTGGTTTTAGTTTACATGACACACCAGCAGATTATTTGTTTTAAGTTTGTTAATTATTAGCTAATGAATAGTTATTTAAATTATGTATGGATTTTATTTGAATCATGTATTTTAAGATGCTTGAATTATGTATGGATTTTTATTTGAAGCATGTATTAACCATGTATTTTATGGTGCTTGAACTATGTATGAATTTTTATTTGAAGCATATATTTTAAGGTGCTATGAATTTTTATTTGAAACATAATTTTTTTTAATGTATTTTAAATTTACTTACGATTTTACGATTTTACGATCCGTTTTTACGATCCGAGTTTGGTTTGCATGTTCCGTGCCGTGTCAAAATCACGATTTTAACAACCTTGGTTGTAGTATTCTCAACAACAAAACCTAAAAATTAAACAATTATGAAGGCTAAGCTATCCTCGTAGCACAACTTTCATTATATATATATATATATATATATATATATATAAAAGATTGTGTTATAAGCAACATCACATACTTGTGCCATTTTTTCAAATATTTTTGGAGCTATACTCATTTGTTAGTTAAAAGGTTTTCGGCTAAAAAATATGAGTGTATATTTTTACGTTAAACTTGTTATTTTTTAAATTACTTTTCCTTTAAAAGAAATTTTAATTTTAATATTTAATATTTTTTTAAATATTTTTAGATAATCTTAATGTGTTGATGGAAAAAATAAAAAAATATTATTTTAATATATTTTTAATTGAAAATATTTTAAAAAATACCTTGAATCACAGTATTAAACGCATACTTAAGTCGGTTTGGGCCGCATCATCGCAACACATCCATACTCGACTGGAGAGCAAAAGTTGCGAGCTTCATAAATGTCTCATCACTTCAGTCGCTAAATGCCTAGGTCATGGGTTAAGTCAAGGCTTTTGCTTACCTGCGTTTTCCTTTCTTTTCTTTTTTGATGGCCTTTTCTTCCATATCGGACACGCTCCATCTCATAAAGACCACAAGTGCCTGGCCTTGATGCTGATGAGAGAGCCCAGTTGTCAAGAACAGCTCTACTCGTCTATTTGGCCATGGCTCCTTGAAGAAAACATCCACTGTGTAGAGGGCAGCTTACATGGTGTGCTTGTCAAGGGGGATCAGGAGCCAACCCTAGGAATTTTGCAACCAGGTGCTGCCAACCGTGCTTTATAAATGACTTTTACATGGTCCTTCACGTGCTCAAATCCTGGATTATGCTCCTGTGCTTGTAATTCTTTCTTCTTTTTAATGTCCTGATCCAATGGGCTGCCCCTTGGAATTCTCATCCATGCCTAAAGTAAAGCAAGCAATAGTCGGGGAGAAACATGTACAGATGAACAAAATTTTACCTGTCTAGAAGAGGATTTCCAAAACTGATTACTAATATGTTGCTGGCTGGTGTAAAGCCACTCACAAATGGTTGAAATTAAACATGGAAACTGAAAAGATAAGAGGTGTCACAGTAAATGATAGGCTTACAAGTGCAATATGACGAAACTGGAAATCAAATAAATCCTTCATGTACAAGCATGCCTAAAGAATGCTTTTATGTGACATAACATTAAACATGTAAACATTAAAAACAATATAAAACTGGCGAGTCAAAGGCCAATGTTAATAAAGGGAGGAAAGAAACAGACAATCGGAGAAGCCATTCCAACAAGAAAAGGGAAAGCAAAATTGCTGGCCTCAGTTGTTTGTGTTTCTCAACATATAGTGCAGACGCTATTTTACCATTAAAGGGATTACTGGTTGAAGAACAAGTGGTTGATATATTTGAACTCTAAACCTCTATATGGATGTAAAACAAGCAAAACTGGTCTGACAACTATATTTCATGTTCCTAGATGTAAGAAAGGAGCCAGATGGAAGATAGATTTCTTTCCATTCCACATGGCCAGATCACCGTGTATTTTAGGTAGAATGTTAACCCTTTTAGTGATAACAGAGAGTACCTAAGAAACTGTTCCCTGTAAATGAAGCCTAAATTATCTTGCAAAAGAACCTTGTTCCAATGGCAATGACCATACACCAAGAGTAAAACCCTGCATTTTGGGACTGAGCAGAATGATAATAGCATCAATGTTACAAAAAATCTAACATCTAAACTTTGCTTTAGATGCACCAGGAAAGACAAAAAGTAAAATGAAGATAAGAGTAAATGACTACAAACAATTTTTGTAAAATGCGAAGTTGCAAACACAAAAGAACCCAAAAAATCAATTATACGGATGATTGATGTTTAAAAAAGTACAAGTTATAAATAACTAATTAACATTTCAACACTGATATGTATATGAAATTTTCAGAAACTAAAAATGTAACCAGGAATGATATAGTAAGTATACCAACCAACAGTATAATAAATACATTGAATATCATGGATGCATCATATCCGTTTTCCACCAGTCCAGAATCAATGATTTCTTAATAGCAGAAGCATTTGCAAGAGGATCACCACAAATGACTTCAAACACTTGTTGCCTCAATAACCCACGATACAGACATGTAAGTTATGGCCATCATCATCACATAACCTACAACCTGGGAGTGAACGTACCTCAATAACAGGCCTCTTGTCAAGCATGTCCTATGCCTACAGATTCCAAACCTTTTAACTCATTGCTATTGGAACATGGATGAAAAATCATTTTAGTTTGTCCAGTCTTACCCATTCTTGCACTGTATTATCTCCCTGCATCTTCAAGAGTTTTCTGTTGTGATGCCAGTGCACTTTCAGGGAATGCAACCATGTTTATCCATGGCTTGTGCATAATCCTCTATTAGTAGAAGAATAAAGCTTCTAATGCATTGACAGGACACTAAACGTTGTACTTATAGAGCATGACTATGGATGTTTTTGTTCCAATTAAAGTGATAAGATGAAGCCCACCTCCCCCTCTTCATCTCAGATCATTTGTGCACACAAAAATCATGAGCTGCAGGTCCACAGCTCAACAAAAGGGATTTTTTTGACAGCAGAAATAGCTAAAGATGGTAAGGGGATTAAGACAAAAATGAAGAAAAATCAAACATGGGAATTCACAAGCTTGGGATGAATGCAGAAATCTAACATAAAGCAATAACCTCTACCACTCACCCTCTAACCAGTCAGCAGAAGTCCAAGTTGAAGCCATTTAGGATCAGATTTTGACTGTCACAGGTTCATTTGCTTAATGAACAACTCATTCCTTCCAGATTGATAATCACACAAACCAACTGGTGACTGTCCAGCTGAAATAGATCCACATCTTAAGCAGCTAGATCAATAAATCTTTATAATTCTAAAATATATATGATGCAATAGAACTATCCAAGTTAATTATTTTGTAAACTCACAGATCGTGAAAACTCTGATCTTGAAAACATGTTAGCATCTACCATATGTCTTCTGCTCAAACTTCGCAGTCTCTGGCACTAACTTCAACACTCACATCAAACATTAGTATTATTAACTACAAAAGTTGGACCTTATAGGTGAAGTGACTAATAGGAAAAGAACCAAATAATCTATAAAAAGAGTTGTTAGGCAGAGCATATCCTACAAGTTCTACACAGTTATGATAATTCATTAGCTTCAGCCAGTAAGCTTGTATCCAGTTTGCAACCATTCACACTGAATATACTTCAATTGTAATCCAATTCATGCGTATTCAACAGACAAACACGTTCCCGTAGAAAATCCACTAAACCCTTTCCTTAACCCCACATTTAGATTGTCCTAAAACCAATACACTCTGCTTTGTTTGAACAGATGAACACATAAACCACACATTCTTGCTTAAAAAAGTCTCATCGTCTGGTCGAAAAATATAAACCTTTAGAGCTGGTGATCATACTGGCATGACAGTGTTTTTGCATTAAGAAACATTAGCTTCACCATCCATAAAACAAGCGAGGTAAAAACATAACAAGCCACAGATTTGAAATACAATATGCTAGCCAAAAACATGTGATTATCTCAATATAAAAAAAATGAATGAAAATTCAAGTGAATAATCACAATCCATTTATTCCTCGTAGAAATTAACAACATACCCTCAACACATCTTCATGTCGCATGATCAAATAATTAGCTTTAATCCGATTATCCCTCGTCGGTGACAAAGTTAAATCTCAAAGTTCTCTCCTTTTCTTTTGTTAAATAAAAAATAACAAAAAAAAAAATCTCACTTTTCTTTCTCATGAGACTCTGATTTTTCAGCTGCAGCAGCAGCTTCCTCCTCCTTTTCCTTCTCCAACTGCTTAACAGCCTCTTGTTCTGCAGCCTTCTCAGCCTTTAAAATGGGCTCATAATAATCAGCATGAGCCTCCATACACAACTTCAACGCGCTAGTAACTTCAAAACATTTTTCCACAATATCTTCATTCTTTTCCTCCGCTTGCTTAATACAATCTTCCCATGCTATGAACGCATCTTTGCAACCTCCTCCTTTCATGAACAAACAGAACCCACACTCTCCTTCCTCTTCCTCGTCCTCTTCCTCCTCTTTTTGATTTTCACTCATGGGTGCGTTTGTTTGGTCTGTTTCTTCAAGGGTTTTTGTTGAAGTGAATGGCTCTGTGGCTTCTTTTGATTCTGGATCATCAAAAGAGGGTTTCGGCTCTTCTTGGGTTTCAGGATCTGAAGAGGACATGTTGGGTTTTGAGAATTGGTAATGAGGAGGGTTGATGCTTTCCTTGCTCAATTGGAAAGAAAAAGGGTAACTCCAATGCCTGCTTAAAACCTCCTAAAAACCCTTTGCCCCCAAAGAGGGGATGGTCATCTTGGTTTATTTGAACGACATGTCACGTATTCAAACTGCTTGTTGAAATCCATGGATGACATGTATTCATACTGCTAGTTGATATGTTACCTTACCGCACTAAAAAAGTTGAGAAAGCCAATGGAGCTTCAATTTATTTATTTTTTCATTTTTAATTCATAGTCTCCTTTTTCCTTTTAATTTTTAATTTTACCCTCACGGTTTTTTTTAACAATTATCTGGTTATTTTTGAATCAATTAAATTTGATTATATTGAAGTAACTCTTATAATAATTTAATTTTAAATTTAAGTTAAACAAAAAATAGGTTTAAAACCTTTTTATATTAAATTCATTATGTTTTAGTTAATTTTATTCTCAGATTTTTTTTATTATTCAATTAGATTATTTATAAATGGATTAAGTTGACTGAGTTATATATTTAATTTTAAATACAGGCTAAATAAAAAGTTAAAAATTATAAATTAATCTATCAAGTTAAGTTTAATAATAACATCTAATAATTCTCTCTTTTTTTTGTTGCTGTTATGTTTGTTTCTTGTAGTAAACAATTATATGGACTCGTGTTTTTACACTCTTCAATAAATGGTGGTAGGTTGGAAAGGGGTCCACCTAGGTTAATGGTTCTATGAACCCAGCAAAAGACATGGAGTCACTACCTAGGTTAATGTTCTAAAAGCTAGTAACTAGTCTGCCAAGACCTGAATAAGAGGTTGGTTATGTATTAAGAATATGAACTCAATTAATTATACTCATCCGACATCTGTTCTAAAGCCAACTGCAGTGTACTCATTAATGTGTACTCATTAATCATAGAAAAATTCTCTGGTTTTAATGCTAATCAAGGAAAAATGCTAAAAAAATATATATAAAAGCCCCTTTCTTAGTAAAATGATGTCCTCAAGTCTTAATAGCATATACAAATGCTATCCATCCATGTGTAATTATTTTCAAGTACAAACAGAAGATAAATAAAAATGAAATCAATTATAAAATTACCAAAATGCCCTTAATCAAGCTGAGAAATCTTGAAAATTGCCTCTAGACTGCGCTTTAGCCCATGCACCACTGCAGCTGATGGTCCAACGACAACTCCAGTAAGATCTCGGCGACCCAAGGAGTCCACTAGATAGATCTCGACCTTGCCCTTCACCTGATGTTGGCCGTGAGTCTCCTAACCAACCAGCTGTGAGAGAGATCGGCTGCGACAAAGCTTCAGTTTAGCCATTAATTAATTTTCTTGCTTTTTTAGGTCATTAATAAAAAATTTAATGATATTGTCTGGTCGAGCCTTGGTCAGGGAGAGGCATCGCACCTTTCTGCAATGGCTCGACATTGAATGATGTCTGGACGGAGGAGATACAGCTAACAGGTGCAGCGGTTGTACGTGCAATTAGACTAGCTATAGTTAATTAATCTTTTTTACGCAGAGACTGAATCAGTTGTGCATATATAGGATCAATTCTTTTAATGGGATTGGATCACTCCTCAATCAAATATTAAGTGAATCATTTATAATTAAACCTATATGTTCACAAAAATGATTTTAAGATTTGAATTGAAGGGAGGGTTTGACACAGCTTTTGTTTATTTTTTTTGTGTTTTTTTTTTAAATATTAAAATACTTTTTTTGTGCATTGTTTTTGATAATTTTAATGTATTAATGTTAAAAAGAAAAAGATATTATTTTAATATATTTTTAAACAAATTATTTTAATAAACACAATCGCCACAATCCCAAACATCATAGTAGTAATTTATTTATTAAACTATACTTTCAAAGTCAAGGTAAATATTGTAGTTTAATTTATTGTGCATTGTTTTAAATCTGTATTTATCTAAATTCTACACTTTATGAAGATTTCCTCCCGTCGAAGATACACAAACGACGACATGGAATGCCGTTTTACTTTAAATTATTCATCCAATCTCATAAGTTGGCTTTTGGCACCGATGTGGTACCTCTCTGATCTGTCCTCACTCCTCTATGATCTCTACATAGAAAGGAAATTGCCACACCATACAAATCATGCATGATCACCGAGAACAAAACACTTTAGCTTTCACAATATTCAGCTATTTTTTGTTTTGGTTTCCCTTCCATGCTTGTATGCATTATTAAATTGTGTCCTCTTTGACTAAATGCATGCTACACCTCCTTTGTTTTGGTAAATAACAAGGGCTCAGGTACATATATCTCCATTGACCAGTACTTCGCATTACAGATTACTTCAAAGAACCATCCACAAATCTAAACAAATTTAAGATCATTTGCATAATTTATGTTATTTTAGCCCTCCTTCCATGCCCATGAATCAGATCTTACTCACTAAAATTAAGATGCTTTATATCATGCTAACAGTAGTGGTAGTAATTAAGATACTATCAAGTTTTAAAGAGGGCAAGAAAGAAATTGAAGATCAGAGTGGAACAATAATAATTACTAGATTAATTATCAATTATTACTAGACTCCAACAGGCGGAGGAGGAGGAGGGGCCTCGGCAGACGCCTGTGGAACACCATCTCTACGGCGGTGGGCATTCTTGTTATTATGCATCCAAACCTTAAGCACATTTCTTTTGACACCAATTTCATTGCAAAACTGATTAAGAGCCATATCATCGTGTTTCTGTATTCTCCACCCTATCTTTTCAGCAAACTCCAGCATTCTCTCCTTTTGCTCCTGCGTGAACTTTGTCCTAAACCTCTTATTATTGCTGCCAGCATTCTTCACCATAAACCCTTTCCCTTCACCTCTCTCAGGAGTCTCTGAGCGTCGATCATGATCAAGATCATCAAGGTCGTCGTCGTCATCCTCATGAGGACGTGAAATGAAATCATGAACTGGCTTCATGTTTATATCAGTGGGCGCACCGTACAAGAGAAACTGTTGTGTTTGTGGTGGTGGAGATAGGAGGAGTTTTTGCTGTTGCTGTCTTTTGGTACTACCTTGTCTTCTATGGAAGTTGCGGTGGCAACCACAGGCAGCACAAGTGAGCCAATCACGGGTGCCTTCATCACCACGTGGCATGAACTCTCCACAACCGTCATTGGCATGGCCACCAATAGAAGCAGCATGGTTTCTCAAGCACTCTTTGTACTTGACACTGCTAATGCTGTAAGGATCTTTAGTTGTTTTCGAGTTTGGGTTCATGGTGGTGATTGGTAATTTGGTTTGGAGTGCCATGTCAGTATCCTGGTCATGTTCAGTTTCAGATTTGTGCTGCTGCTGCTGCCGCTGTCGATGGTAGGGTACAACACTTGTGTCCATTTGGGAAAGAGAGAGAGTAGCAGTAGTGTCTTTCTGTCTGTGTTTTTGTTGGGTTAAGGAGATGGGATCGTGGAGTTCATGCTGAAGGCTGGGTTTAGGAGAAGCAGAGAGCTTAAGAGAACTGTTGATGGTTTTTTGTCAACTTGTAATAACAATAGCTGTGGTAAAAAGCGTGAAATGAATTTAAGGCATTCATGACCAGAGAGTGAGTGAGAGACAGGCTGCGCAGAAGGGCGTCATAAATTCAAGTGACTCACATGTGGCAGTTAAAAATAATTAACAAAATATATATGCCGTGACCGCTTTACTATAGCAGAAGGCATAAATTATTAATTATTATTATTATAGTGAAATAACTATTTTGTTCTTCAGGGAAAAAAAAAATTGGTCTGTTGTCGGGATCTCTTGATTTATTCTACTGGTCTATTGGTTATTAAAATATCACTATGGAATATCTAAATCTGTTTTTTATATAGTAATTACTCACATAATCAACAAGATTTAAAATTGTTGTCTAATTTTATTTTTTTTTACTTCTCGTGATTTTCTAAACAATAAAAATATTTTTTTACTCCATAATCAAATAGCTTGTTGGAAGGTTGTATTTGATGTTACTTGATAGTTAAATCTACTATTTTATTATCTCTGTAGATCCGATTTTATATTTTTATTTATAAGATCTGATATATTATAGCATATTAAAAAGAAAAAAATTATCTAAAATATCAAATTCTCAAAACTTAATTATGAATAATCATCCCATGATTAATTTATTAATTCATTGCATGTTCTACCTTTTTTAAATATCAATTTATTCAAATAATCCACCCTTTCTAATTTCTTTAATAAATTGAATGCTTCCTTTTAGACGAGGGTATATTTTCTTTTCAATTAACAATGATTTCATCATCAAATAAACAATCAACCCTTCAATACATTACTACAAGCATTACAGAAGTAAAATTCATTCTAATTTCTCAAATCTCTAAAACATTAAAATTAACATTTATCAAGTAGAATTAAGATTAATCATCTAAAATATCACTAACATGTTTAGTTATGATGATTTCAACACAATTTACAACCATAACACAAATTCATAAAACCTTTCTTCTTGACTCTCCATAGACCGATCCAAAATTTTGCTACAGCGGCCGATTAAAGGGCTGAATTGGGGGCCAATACGAAGAAGGAAGCGACGGCAGCAGATGATAACACACCGGTCAAGTCATTATTCTCCACTCAACCTCCGGCTCCAATTTCTTTTTAATATATAAAATTATATGTAATTGATTTTATAATTAAATTAATAATATAAAATGTATTCTTCAATGTATAAGAGAGGACCCCACGAAACAACAACCCCACATAAAATTTACCCCCCAAAACACTATCACACACAGGGGAAAAAAAACCTAGCCAATAGTAATCAAGTTGGTGTCCCCGCAACGAGCCATGGCGTCAACAAATGAGAAAGAAGGAAGGATGCAACATTAAGTCAATCTTGTTGCCTCTCTGAAAAATATAAAATTAATGTTGTTTGTAAAAATAGTTATTATTATTTTTTAAAAAAATTTATATTAAAATAATATTTTTTATTTTAAAAAAATTGTTTTTAAGATTCACATATCTAAACGATGCAAAATATATAAAATAATTATTTTTTTTTAAATACAATCATAATTATTCTCTTAGTGATTTTGGGATATTAATTATACAAATATGTCTGATTAGTTTTAATTGCA